AATTGATAATCATAGAATGAGTTATGGGTGAATTTAGACGAAAGTAGTAAGCCCTGGTGCTTTGTAGTTTGATACTGATTTTTAGAAGACCAGAATATAGGCAATTGTGACACTAACAAACCTCATTCATATAATTAGTCTTTCTCCGTGTTCAAACCCACCTCTATTAGTTCAATTGCTTTGGTCTACTGAAGCATGAACACAATGAAAACAACAAATACCAAAGATGGGTTCTAATTTTTTAAAAATTATATATTTAATTAATTTATGTATTAAATAAATTTTCAAAAATTACATTAGTATTTAATATTTATCATCAAATATTTAAAAAATATCAGTTAATTTCCTTGCTTATAAAAATGATGTATAATAAAAAATTATTTTCCTAATTAATAAATAATATTTTTTTCAACTTGGGTTGTTATTTTCTAATTTTGTATATTTAATCTTCAAAAAATTTATAAATTAATATCAAAGATTTAGTAAATATTCTATAAGAGCTATACATTAAAAATAAATATTAAGCTGTAAATAAATAAATAAATAAATAAATATTTAACTTCCTCTAAACCTTTAGTAAAGATTCATTGCACTACACTGAACATATTCACATGATACGTTTTAATGTCGAAAACATCAAAAAAACGAGAAGAAATAAAATAGAAATACAAACAACCAAACTTACATCAAAATCATTACGCGTGCAACAACTGACATAAATACGCAACCCAAGCAAGAAATGCGAAGTATGATAAACTAAATTCATGAGAGCAAAAACCAAAAGACACCTCAGAAGAAAAACTGCACAACAGCATTCATCCTGCAGGCAACCAGCCCAGCAGCTTCGAAGTGATCCTAAAGTAAAAAATAGAGTGGCCCCACCAGGGAACGCAACCCCACCAGAACTAACCAAACCCAAACGCGCCAAAAGCAAAGTCTACACAGTCCAGAGTATAAAGCCTAGAGCGAGCGCCACAGCGTAGCGCAAGCACCCGGAACGCGGAATAAATATTAAGCTGTAAATTAACTGATATAAGCAAGGAAATTAACTGATATTTTTGAAAATTTATTTAATACATAAATTAATTAAATATATAATTTTTAAAAAATTAGAACCCATCTTTGGTATTTGTTGTTTTCATTGTGTTCATGCTTCAGTAGACCAAAGCAATTGAACTAATAGAGGTGGGTTTGAACACGGAGAAAGACTAATTATATGAATGAGGTTTGTTAGTGTCACAATTGCCTATATTCTGGCTTTCTAAAATCAAGTATCAAACTACAAAGCACCAGGGCTTACTACTTTCGTCTTAATTCAACCCATAACTCATTCTATGATTATCAATTCAACAATACTTCTCTCAATCACAATTCTTCATAAGCAAATAATAAAGAAAATAAAGAGGTAGCACCAAGCTTACCTTGGCTTACGACTCTCACTCTAGCTTTTGGCTTACAAATCTCAGTCTGGCCTTGATTGCTCTTTCCTCAACCTATTTATCCTACCAAAAAGATGATCTGCCGGCCAGTGAATTCCAAAGGTTATGATCATTTGAATTCTTAATCATTTATTCCACTAACAACCTATTGTTGTCAACTAAACTACCTAATCATCAGTCTAATTCTCAAGGTTATCAATAACCAACCAGTAACTTATCACAAAGTTTATTTACCTATTCTACATACCCCCACTCCTAATTGTGTAGCGTCCTCGCAAATATAATTTAGCCTCAACTTTATATAGACGTAGCAGCATTGGCTTCTTCAATCAATGGCATTCGCTTACCACCCTTTGAATTGGTGACCTTCTCCTTTGCTACATCTTCATCCTCTGCTTCGATGTTCGATGGTTCTCCATCCAAATGCGCCATCCGATCTTCATTCAACAAATCCAATTTTCGTACCTACGACTCACGTCAAGCAATTTGGTTGTCACGCTGTCGTAATACCTCAAGGCTTGCTTGAAAATGCTCTGGGTTCTTGGCTTTGGAAGGAAGAATAGAAATTGCAATAACAAAATCCTAATTCTAATAGAATACTAATAATGCTCTAATTGGACCACAATAATGCTAAACAACCTTAATCAAATTCAAAAAAAAAAACCTCAAAGAAATTTCAAACAAACAATAAAAATTCTTAAAGTAATATTAGAATGATCACAAATATCACTCAAATACATCTCAATTCAATCTTAATTTAATTCTAGTTAAAATCATATTGAACTTCATTCAAATTTTAGGCCAAAATTAATTAAATCTTAAATCCTAATAAAATCCTCCATCCTAAATCAAATCCGTAACAAACCTTAAACCAAACCCCAACCAAATCCTAAAACAAATCCTAACCAAATCCTAAACCAAACCCAAAACCCTAAATCAAACCCTAATCAAATCTTAATCCAAATTCTAAACTCTAAAATAAATCCTACTTAAATCCTAAATCCAAATCCTAAATCCTAAACCAAACCCTAACCAAACCCTAAATCAAACCCTATCCAAATCCTAAATCAAATCCTTAATCCTACCCTAAACCCTTAACCAAACCCTATCCAAACCCTAAACCAATTCCTAACCCAATCCTAGTAATTCCAACAACAGATTTAAACCTCAATAACTAATGAATAAACCATTGATCTTAACTCAAATTTTGCAGACTTCTTAAAAACTAAGTTGAAAATAATCACAAATTTTTTGAAAATGATCGGAATTACCAAATAGGCGATAATCTCAAAAGTGTGCTCGGGTATTGGTTGGCCTCCTTCTCCAACCTTGATGCCAATAATCCAGAGCCAATATCTCTTTTTTGTACCTTTCGATTGATCTCAAAATTCTCATATACATAGAAAAACAAGTCTTATATCCTCTCACATAAGTTTCACTCCAATCCAACTAGTAGGTTGCAAGAAACCTTAAAAACCTCTACTAGACCTAAAGTTCTACTTTT